CTCAGGCGAACATGCGATTTCATGGTAATTGAACGTGGTGAGCAGAAGCAGGACTCGTGCGGCTGTGTCAGGGTCTGGCGCGATAGCCCTCATGGCTCCGACTGTCAGGGTGTGGTGTGGAAGCATCGTGCTTGATTCGGCTCACGAGGATGAGTCAGAATCTCTAATTTCCTTGCTGATTGCAGGGTGATTGAAGCTGGGAGTTCCTCCCATGATCCTGAGTGTGATGTTTTAGGACTCGTGCGCCCCAGAATGCATTGCCGATGGATCTGAAAGTCATGGCGTCTTGTCGGCACTCAGTCTCGATTGGACTCGGCACTGCGTAGTTCAGATGGTGTTGATGGCCACCCCACGGGTTGGATATTTCTTGTCTCTGACTAAGGTGGTTTCACATCGCACGGTCTGCAATACGAAGAAACCGTGCCCGCTGCTGCTTCCAGCACGGCTCTCAGCTTGCTTTCTGACATGCCGCTTGCTCCAGCAACTCGTCAAACATATGAGCCGTGTGCTCAACGAGGATGAGTCAAAATCTCACGTTCCCTGCTGATTGCAGGGTGATTGAAACAGGGAGTTCCTCCCATGGCTCTGAGTTAGATAGTATGTGTCGAAGGCACGTGTCTGGGGGGCACCAGGACGCGCTGGGATGCGACGTTCGGTGCAGGCTCTGCTTTTCCAGCAGCGGTAATGCTTCGCCGCACACATGTGTGTCCGGATGCCTGCGGTAAATCCGCCGCCGTGCCAGCGAAGTACTCTGTGTGGCAGCCCTTCGAGCGCCTCTGTGGGGCTGCTTTGGGCCGCTGTCTTGGGGGTCCCTTTGGGGCCTCTTGAGCCGTCTATGGGCCCTCTTGGGCTTGGACCGTCTTGCGACCCTCTTGATCGTCCGGGGGGTCTCTTGGGGCCGTCGTGGGGTCGTCTTGGGGCCGTCTTGGGCCGTCTGGGGGCTCTTTCAGGTCGTCTTGGGTCCTTCTGGAGACCCTGTTGGGCCAGCCTGAATCCCTCTTGGAGCTGGAGCCGTCCCTGGGCAGTCTAGGGCCGCAGTCTAGGGGCCCTCTGGGATTCTCAGTGGGCCCCTTCTGTGCCCCCTCGAAGACTGCCAAATGGGCCATTCCTTCCGACCCGAGTGCCGCGGAAAGCGAGAAAGCATGGAACATACATTTGGAACACCCCCCTGTGTTGGCTTCCCGAGGGTGGGGTCTTGGGGGTGTCTTGGTGGCTTCTTGGAGGCCCTCTTGGGATCTACTCCGGTGCGTCTTGGGAATTGTTGGGTGCCTCTTGAGCCTCGTCGAGGGCCCCATGTCGGTCCCTCTTGTCGGCCCTTGGGTGGCTTCCCTGGGTGTCTTGGACGCTTCGCTGTCTGCGCGGAGGCACGGGGCTCCCAGGATATCTCCCTGGCAGGTGGAAGCCCTGTCAGACAGCACTTGACATTCTGTCACGCCTCAGGGGGCACGGTGGCGGGGCTGGAGTCCAGGATTTCACTCTGTGACTCTGTGACTCCGTGGCCTGTCGTGCTTCGTGGCCTCTTTGTGGCCTCTCTCTGGCCTCATCGGCGACTCCGCGGCTTCATGGCCTCGCGAGCTTCGTGGCTAAAGCCTTGCTGGAATGAGTTGCCAAGGGTCCCTCAGCGGGCTGTGATGTCATGGGGATCAAGAGTGGTCTTGCAGAATCAGGGCTCGCGCAGCTGTCTCTCGGTCCGGCGCGATTGCCCTCGGGGCTCTGACTGCTGGGGTGCGGTGCCAGAGCGTCGTGCTCGATTGGGCTCACGAGGATGAGTCAGAATCTCTAATTTCCTTGCTGACTGCAGGGTGATTGAAGCTGGGAGTTCCTCCCATGATTCTGAGTGTCATGAGAACGCGTCGGCAGTGCATGCTTTGGGACTCGTGCGCCCCAGATCGCATGGCCGATGCATCTGACCGTCACGTAATCGAGGTGCTGTTGATGACCTCCCCGCGGTTCGGACTTTTTCCTGGGTCTGGCTATGGCCGCATCTTTTCGCGTGGTATCCAGGAGGAATCGTGACGCTGCCGCACCCGCTGCTGCTTTCAGCACGATAGTCAGCGCGCTTGCCCACATCATGTCTCTTGCTCGAGGATGAGTCAAGTTCTCACGTTCCCTGCTGATTGCAGGGTGATTGAAACAGGGAGTTCTTCCCATGGCTCTGAGTTCAACGGTATGTGTCGAAGGTACGTGTCGGGGGGTCCCCAGGGCGCGCCAGAATGAGACGTTCCAGGCAGGCCTTTCTCTTCCAGCAGCGGGGATGCTTCGCCGCACTGGTCTGCACCGCAGGATGCGTGCATTTTCATTTTTCATGAAGCAGCGTGAGGCCTTCGCTGGGGCTTCATCCAGTAGTTTCGAAGGAGGCCTCAGGCGAACATGCGATTTCATGGTAATTGAACGTGGTGAGCAGAAGCAGGACTCGTGCGGCTGTGTCAGGGTCTGGCGCGATAGCCCTCATGGCTCCGACTGTCAGGGTGTGGGTGTGAAGCATCGTGCCTTGATTCGGCCTCACGATGATGAGTCCAGAAATTCTCTAATTTTCCTTAGCTGATTGCCGGGTGATTGAAAGCTGGGAGTTCCTCCCATGTCCCTGCAGTGTTATGTTTTAGGAACTCTGCGCCCAGAATGCATTGCCGATTGGTATGAAAGTCATGCGTCTTGTCGGCACTCAGTCTCATTGGACTCGGCACTGCGCGTTAGTTCAGATGGTGTTGTGGCCACCCCACGGTTGGATATGTCCCCTGTCTCTGACTAAGGAGGGTTTCGTCCGCACGGTCCTGCAATACGAGGAAGCCCGTGCCCGCTGCTGCTTGTCCAAGCACGGGCTCTCAGCTTGTTTTCCCATTCCCTCACATGCCGGCTGCTCAGCAACTAGTCGAACATATTGCGCCGCTGTGCACTACAAGGATGAGATCAAAATCTCACGTTCCCTGCTGATTGCAGGGTGATTGAAACAGGGAGTTTTCCTCCCATGGCTCTGATTGTAGTAAAGTGTCGAAGCACGTGTCCTGGGGGGCACCAGGACTCGCTGCGATGCGAACGTTTCGGTGCAGGCTCTGCTTTTCCAGCAGCGGTAATGCTTCGCCGCACACATGTGTGTCCGGATGCCTGCGGTAAATCCGCCGCCGTGCCAGCGAAGTACTCTGTGTGGCAGCCCTTCGAGCGCCTCTGTGGGGCTGCTTTGGGCCGCTGTCTTGGGGGTCCCTTTGGGGCCTCTTGAGCCGTCTATGGGCCCTCTTGGGCTTGGACCGTCTTGCGACCCTCTTGATCGTCCGGGGGGTCTCTTGGGGCCGTCGTGGGGTCGTCTTGGGGCCGTC